CCCCAACAAAGACCATAGAAAGCGGCTAGAAGAACCTAACCAAGCAACACTCTGACAACAACCCTACGTGTCAGTCCCCCCCGCCTCATGACTTTTCGAGCGCCACCAGAGCCCCCTCCACCCCCAATCGTAATGGAACATAGGAATGGAACAATGGACGACGAACCTGGACTACGCTTGGATGATGAGAAGATTGGGTACGGTTGTTGTTTTTTGTAATAATTGTGCATTGTAATTGCTTATTGGTAATTTATGGATAATGTGTTAAGTCAATTGTTATATGTTGTATGGAACCACTGCTGTTTCTACTGTTTTTACTGTTTATGAACCGCTGTGAGTCGCCTTCGGGCTTGAGATACAGCGGTATATAAGCAAAGTAAATAAATAAATAAATGTGATTTTTTTTCAAGCATATCTTTTAAAGGTAAAGGGTTGAAATTAAGTCTAGTTGTGTCCAACTCTGGGGGGTGGTGCTCATCTCCATTCCTAAGCCGAAGAGCTGGCGTTGTCCGTAGACTCCTCCAAGGTCATGTGGCCAGCATAACTGCATGAAGCACCATTACCTTCCCCCAGAAGCGGTACCTATTGATGTACTCACATTTGCATGTTTTCGAACGACTAGGTTGGCAGAAGCTCACCTGCACTCCCCGGATTTGAACCACCAAAGTCATGTGGCCAGCATGACTGCATGGAGTCCCGTTACCTTCCCGCCCAAGTGGTAGAATCATAGAATCATAAGGTTGGAAGAGACCTTATGGGCCATCCGGTCCAACCCACCTCCAAGAAGCAGGAAAATCACAGTCAAAGCACCCCTGACAGATGGCCATCCGGCCTCTGTTTAAAAACCTCCAAAGAAGGAGCCTATTGATCTACTCACATTTGCATGTTTTCAAACTGCTATGTTGGCAGAAGCTGGAGCTAACTGTGGGAGCTCACCCCGCTCCACGGATTCAAACCACCGACCTTTCAGTCAGCAAGTTCAACAGCTCAGCGGTTTAACCCACTGTGCCACCAGGGGCTCCAAAGCAGATCGAACACTAGAATAAATTGGAAAAATATAGCACATTGCTTGTAATTCGTCAGCACTTTGTAAATGTCAACTTTAGGCAGAGATCATTATTTTTCTCTCTATGATTTCCTAATAAACACAACCATGCAAAGCAATTCCGAATGTAAAATGATGTGTTTGTTTTTATTGAATAGTCATACAGTTTATGGTAGGAGATTGCTAACAACACTCATGCCGCAAGGCGAGTTGCCTGCGTGGGATTTTTGAACTCTGATTTTTTTTTCTTATCAACTTATCTCCATGTAATCGAACCAAAGTATAAAAAGTGATTTCAAAAACAACATCCACCTGAAGTTGAATTCTTACATGTAGTGTGAATGAGAACCTTTGTGTTAAGAGAGCAAGCGTGTGGATCTGTAAATGTTACCCAGCTTGATAAATGGAGCTTTGTTTGTAGTTTAGTTTCTTAGAAAATATAATACACAAAAGATGTAGTACATAGACAGAAGACAATAGTTGGTGACCCATAGGAACAGAAACAACAAGTGTTTTTTTTTTTGCATTGTAACTAAATTACAGTTAGTTGATGAAGGGCCCTTCCAGACAGGCTGGATATCCCAGGATCTGATCCCAAGTTTTCTACTTTAAACCGGATTATATGAGTCCGCACTGCCTGATAATCTGGGATAAACAGAAAACCTGGGATCATATCCTGGGATATAGGGCCTGTCTGAAAAAGCCCGTAGTTTGGGCCAATCTACACTGACATATAAAGCGGTTTAACGGCAGAGTACACTGCCTATATAATGAAGTTTAAAACTTCATTATATTGCCTATATAATGAAGTTTCAAACTTCATTATATGGCAGTGTAGATGGGACCTTTTTATTTATTTATTTTTAGAATATGATTGGCAAAAATTCATCAGATGCCGCTTCTTCAGCATATAGATTTCACCTATGTTTTCTGTCTGTGATGGATTTCTTATAGACACTAATATATATCTGATTATTTTTCATTATCAGCTAAAATGAGAGCCCCCAGTGGTGCAATGGGTTAAACCCTTATGCCAGTATGACTGCTGACCGAAAGGTCAGTGGTTCAAATCTGCGGAATGGGGTGAGGTCCCATCTGTCAGCTCCAGCTTCCCATGCGGGGACATGAGAGAAGCCTTCCACAGGAAGGTAAAACATCAAACATCCAGGCGTCCCCTGGGTAACATCCTTACAGACAGTCAATTCTCTCACACCAGAAGCGACTTGCAGTTTCTCAAGTCACTTCTGGAACGAAAAAAAGCATATAGATTTCACATATATGATTTCTGTCTGGGATGCATTTCTTATAGGCACCGTAATATATATATATTCTGGACTATCTGACTATTAATTCATTTTCAGCTGAAATGTAGGAGCCCCCAGTGGCGCAGTGGGTTAAACCCCTGTGCCGGCAGAACTGAAGACCGACAGGTTGCAGGTTCGAATCTGGGGAGAGCGCAGATGAGCTCCAGCTCCTCATGCAGGGACATGAGAGAAGCCTCCCACAAAGATGGTAAAACATCTGGGCGTCCCCTGGGCAACGTCCTTGCAGACTGCCAATTCTCTCACACCAGAAGCGACTTGTAGTTTCTCAAGTCACTCCTGAGATGACAAAAAAAAAAGCTGAAATGTAAATTGAGCCCTTTGCCAGCTAACATTTAATGTGGTCAATATCATCTCTTTCTATTACCATCCTCTTCTTTAGATCATAAAACAGGTTTGCTTTCATGACGGCAGTCAAATTTTCTTCTTGCAAATGGATTTAAAACCAGGATGTTATTAAGCAGCCTGGCATGAAAATGCCTTTGAAATGGACAGGACCTATTTTCCAAGCTGCCAGCTTTCTGCCTAGTCCTAGTAGCTATGATTTTAACAGAAGCTGACATTTACGTATCTCCAAGCTTCCTTCCAAAGAAAATATGTATTTTTATTTTTAAAAAAGGGTAAAAACTTCCTTCCAAATAAAATATCTATTTCTGGGGATATTTCTGGGGTGGTTTTTTTTGGGGGGGGGGGGGACACGACTATTTGAAATACAGAACCCCTAGCATTTAAAAGTATAGTTGTGCTGGAAGAAAAACAAGTCTTTAGTAGAAAAAAAAACATATCACCGGGTTGCAGTGAGTTTTCCAGGCTGTATGGCCATGATCCAAAAACATTATCTCCTGACTTTTTGTCCACATCTATGGCAGGCATCCCTGCCATAGATGTGGGCAAAACGTCAGGAGATAATGCTTCTGGAACATGGCTATACAGCCCGGAAAACTCACAGCAACCCAGTTATTCCGGCCATGAAAGCCTTTGACAGCAAACAAGTCACCGTTAGTAAATTATTTATAACGTATTGTTGTTTTTCTTTTTGTAGTGGTTAATTCTGAAGTGCAATCCCTCATCGTGGGACTCCTTCTTTTCAACACATATTCAGGGAGCACCAAATATCTAGAGCACTAAATGTTGAGAAAACATTTGTGTGTGAAAACCTACAATGAGCTTTTGAGACAAAGATAGTGAAGCTGTTGTTCAGAAAGTAGGGAACTGAATCCCAGATAAATCTTGGGATAACCTCACAACCTCTGAGGATGCTTGCCACAGATGCAGGCGAAACGTCAGGAGAGAATGCTTCTAGAACATGGCCATATAACTTGAAAAACTTACAACCCAAATCTTGGGCTACTTTGGAAGCATCTGTGTTGGAAGACAGCCAACCCAAGATTGTAATCTTGGAGAAATTTAAAGCCAACCTTAAAAGCCAACCTTAAAAACTGTGGCATAGAAATAGAGAACTGGGAAGCCCTGGCCCTTGAGCGCTCTAACTGGAGCTCAGCTGTGACCAGCAGTGCTGCAGAATTCAAAGAGGCACGAATGGAGGGTGAAAGGGAGAAACGTGACAAAAGGAAGGTGCGTCAAGCCAACCCTGACCAGGATCGCCTTCCGTCTGGAAACAGATGTCTTAACTGCGGGAGAACATGCAGATCAAGAATAGGGTTCCACAGCCACCTACGGACCCACCGCCAAGACACTACACTTGGAGAACCATCATCCTCGGGCTACGAGGAATCACCTAAGTAAGTTGGAAGACAATCGCATGCACACTTGCCTCTCAGCCCTAAATATGGAAACCATTTTAGATTCTTAACATGGGTAACAGCCCTTCGTGTTATCATCTATCTTGTTAAATAGGGGTGCATTTACACCAGGCATGGGCAAACTTTGGCCCTCCCGGTGTTTCGGACTTTGGCCCTCCTCAGTGTTTTGTGGGAGTTGAAATTCAAACTATATAGAGGGTCGAAGTTTGCCCACGCCTGGTTTTCACTGTGGAATGAATGCAGTTTGACGTTGCTTTAACTGCCTTGGCTCAGTGCTATAAAATATTATATATACTTTATGCACCTTGAGTAATATTTTTATTTACATAGATTATTTTGTGTATTTTGGGATAGTGTTTAGTAGTTTATCAGTGCTATAAAACCCTGCAAGTTGTAATTTGGTGAGGCACTGAGCAGAGAAGGTTGAAGATCTTATATAACTACAACATCCTGGATCCCAGGACATTGAGCCATGGCTGTTAAAGCAGTGTCAACCTGCATTCACTCTGCAAGGAGACCGATGAGAGAACAATGTCCGACTATTCCAACAACAAGAGCGAAGCCCGTCTTCCATTTCAGAGAACCGCTCACGGGATTAGTGTTGGCAGGGCATCCCTTGGTCCCATGTGGACTTTGTGGTGCCGAGTAAGATGCGAATTCCGACTGAAGGTTTTCCCGCATTCTGCGCACTCGTAGGGCCTCTCTCCCGTGTGGATCCGCTGGTGTTTGGTCAGAGAGGAACTCTGGCGGAAGCTTTTCCCACACTGCAAACAAGGGTATGGCCTCTCGCCCGTGTGGATTCTCTGGTGCAAGATGAAGTCCGAGATGCCGCGGTAGTTCTTCCCACATATAGCACACAGATAAGGTTTCTCCCCGGTGTGGATTCTACGATGGACAACCAAGTGGGAGCTCTGGGTGAAGCACTCCCCGCACTCCCGGCAAATATAGGGCTTCTCCGATGTGTGGATCCGCTGGTGCCGGATCAGGTGAGAGTTGACCAGGAAGCTTTTTTCGCAGACGGCGCATTCGTACGGTTTCTCTCCCGTGTGGATCCTTTGGTGAGCCGCAAGGTTTGAGCTGACGCTGAAGCTCTTTCCGCAGATAGGGCAAGTGTAAGGTCTCTCGCCGGTGTGGGTTCTCTGGTGAGCAATAAGGGTCGAACTCTGAGAGAAGCTCTTCCCGCACTCGGGGCAGCCGTAAGGTTTCTCCCCAGCGTGGATTCGCCGGTGTTTCACAAGGGCAGAGCCGTCACTGAAGCATTTCAAACACACGCGGCAGACGTAGGGCTTCTCTCCCGTGTGGGTTCGCCGGTGCCTTATGAGGGGCGAGCAGCGCTTGAAACATTTCCCACAGTCGGGACATATGTATGTTTTTCTTGGTTTGCAGATAGCATTTTCCATGGCGGTCTTGCTGAGGTCCATGGCAGTTTCTTCCCCTTGGAAAGTTTCCTGCTGACTCATTCGGGGCTGCATTTCAGGGTCACATTGAGTCGCGTAGTCTTCTTCCTGGTCCAGACTTGGCGGGAAATCTGTGTCACATCTTTCCGGTGACAACTCCTGCTTGATACTTTCCTGAAGTGATGTCTCCTCCTCGCTCTCGCTAAACATCTTCAACCAGTCTAGAAAAGAATACAGATCATAATTGTTGAGATTCAAACCCACACTGCCCAAGTTTCAAGTACTCAAAGAGGAGCAGTTAGTTAGTTAATATAGACTAAGGGTTTCCCTTGGTTGGAGTTCAGCCTGTGACTGTGTTTCAGGATCGGGGTGCTTTGGATGTGGGGAGTGATGTCAATGAGTTTCAAGATGGCAATGGTTTGGTCAGTGATATTGATGCAGAGAATGACCAGGAGATCCCTGTTCAAAGTGTAGTTTCCCATGAGAATGTCCCTGAAGGGTGTGGGGATGATGGTGTGCTTTCTGAATTGTTACCAGAGAGTTCCCATGATAGGGAACATGAAAACAGCTTGGCACCTGGCCCAGCTGCAGAAATTAATGAGCAAATAGATAGACGGGAGGAGATCAGTCAAAACAGGAGAGCCGAACAGTGGCTTCGGCGTTCTGCCAGGCTCCGAGAGAAAAAGATAAGAAATTCTCAGCTTAAAACGAAAGCAATTTCTGAATGCTAGAGACTTAGCTAACAAGAAGATAAAAGTCCCAAGTACAGGATATGTAGTCAGATGAAGCATCGTTTGGAATCAAGTCAAGCTCTCATTCTTTTTCATGGAAGTTTTGCTTGGGAAATTCATGTTTTAAGTACCTTTGTTTTATGGTTTTGATCCTTGGATTTAATGCTCTATATTCATTCCTTGGGTTCATGTTTCCTGATTCCTTACATTTTATTTGGGAAGTTTTGTCTTTGTTTTTATGGGCTTTGCTGGACTATTACCCTGCGTATCTTCCTACCTAACTGAATTTATCTATTTCTTTAAAGTGTTTTTTACTTTATTGCTTTTTAATTATCTTCAATAAAAGGATTGTTTTCTATACAACGGTGTGATGTTTAAAGTCAGAGGGCTTTTTCCTGTCTTGGTGTGCAACACCCTTCCCCCATGTCTCCTGTATGACAGTTGGGAATGTGGGTTGTTGTGAGTTTCTCAAGCTGTATGGCCATGTCTTTTTATTTATTTTATTTATTTACAGTATTTATTTTCCGCCCTTCTCACCCCATAGGGGACTCAGGGCGGATCACAATGCACATATACATGGCAAACATTCAATGCCATAAACAAACAACATATATAGACAGATACACAGAGGCTATTTAACTTTCCAGCTTCATGATTGAATTCCAGCCACCGGGGGAGCTGTTGCGTCACCGTCACTTGTGACACCAATGGAGTACTTCCTCATTCTTTTGCACACTGCTGGAAATTTTTATGGAGTCATAAATTAGTGGTAAATAAGTGGTACCTAAATTTCCTACTTGACAGATGCAACTGTATTTTGGGCTGCAAAAGTCGACAGCAAGCTAGGCAAATGGTCAGGAGCTTACTCCGACCCAGGCTGGCTTTGAACTCATGACCTTTCAGTCAGTAGTGATTTTAATGCAGCTGACTCCCAACCAGCTGCACCACAACCCGGATGTTCCATAAGCATTCTTTCCTGATGTTTGGGAATTTATTTCTTCTCTCCTCTCTGTTTCTGCTCTCATTCTGATCGGTTGTTTAAATTGATACTTCTATACTGAAAGGCTTTTTAAATCTGAATTCTGATTTTTACATTTTAGTATGGAGAGTATGTGCTGTCTGCTTTGAGATCTCTCTCTTCTTGTGTGTCAGGAGAGATGTAATATTTATGTTTTTCCCTCTCTTTGAAACCTTAAAAGAGATGGGTGTTAGAGTAGCTCAGACCCAATTCTTGATTACTAAGAAATACAATTATTTCTCATTATTGTAAATAAACCTTATGTGATTTTTTAAGATTGGACTCTGCATGTTTGCCTCCTAAGCTTTTAATTCTTTACAGCCATATCTCATGGCACTTCACGCTCTGCTCGCTAATGCACCAATGCTCAACTTTTGTATCCTGTTTGTTTTTGGGTGTTCTGCTTTATTTTAGGGTAGTTTTCCCTAACAAAAATATGATAGGCAAGTTATTCTCACAAATTCCAGACTGCACCTGGAATAATATTGTATCCAGTTCTGGGCACAATTCAAGAAGGAAATTGATAAGCTGGAAGGTGTCCATAGAAGGATGACCAAAATGATCGAAGGTTTGGAAACAAGCTCTATGAGAAGCAGCTTAGGGAAATGGATTTGTTTTGCTTGGAAAAGAGAATATTTTTATTTGAAAGGATGCCACATTGAGGACGGGGCAAGCTTGTTCTCTGCTGCTCTGGAAACAAGGACACGGAGCAATGGATTCAAACTGCAGGAAAAGCAATTCCACTTGAACATTAGGAAGAACCTCCTGAAGGTAAGAACTGTTCAACAGTGGAATATGCTTCCTTAGAGCCTGGTGGAGTCTCCGACCCTTTCTACACTGCCATATAATCCAGATTAGAAAAGCGACAATCTACATTATCTGCTTTGAACTGGATTATATGAGTCTACAATGCCATATAATCCATTTCGAAGTAGATAATCTGGATTTTATATGGCAGTGTAGAAGGGGCCTCCTTCTCTGAAAGTTTTTGAACAGAGGCTGGATGGCCATCTGTCAGGAGTGTTCTGATTATGTTTTCTTGCATGGCAGAATAGAGTTGGATTGCATGGCCCTTGAGTCCTCTTCCAACTCTTTGAGTCTATGATTCTTTGTTACTCTTTCCAACCAGGGATGTTGGCTGGGAAAATTTGGAAATGACAGTCCAGAAATGTAATGTTCTCAATTCTACACAAAGGTTAAAGGGGGAAACTAGATTAGAGTAAGGAAATGCTTGTTGTTATTGTTACTGTCTATTGTTTACTTTTGTTTATGAGATTTATTTTAACTGTTGTATTGATTGTTTTCTTATTGCTTTTACTGTTGATGTACTTTGGGCTCGGCCTCATGTAAGCCGCACCGAGTCCTTTGGGGAGATGGTAGTGGGGTATAAATAAAGTTTTGTTATTATTTATTATTTATTAAATGCGGCCAGCCCTTCACATTTGCTATGTTTTTGGGTACATGATCCCAGTAGAAATGAAAAATTGTGAATAAAGAAATTGCTGGGAGTGGAAAAGAGTCCAAGATCTTTGGCGTTGTTGTTTTATGTTATTATGTAATCTGTGTTATTAGTATAATTAGGTTTATTTGATTATTCAAATTTGGTCCTCATTTTGGTGTATGTGTGTGTATGTATATGTATGTGTATATATGTGTGTGTGTGTGTGTGTGTGTGTGTGTGTGTATATATATATAATCATTTAACATACTAAACTCAAAAAATTTAAACTTCTTGAAATAGTTTAAAATAATGCCATCTATTTACAACACATGGGCAAATTTAATCAAATCTGTGAGGCCCCAAAGGGTTTAATAAAAGGTGCATATTTTTATTAAATCTTGCACCTTCTTTAGGTGCATCAATCGACATGTAGAATTAATACAGATTGACATCACTTTCACTGCCCAAACATGACTCAGTGTTAATGAATCCTGAGAGTTGTAGTTTGGTGATGCACCAGAACTCTTCAGCAGAGAAGGCTAATGACCTTGTAAAACTACAACTCCCAGGATTCCATAGCCTTGAGCCACAGCAGTTAAAGTGGTTGGAAAGAACAAACTCTACATTAGTTATAGCTGATAGGAGTTTACAAAAGCGTGTTGATGATTTCTTCCCTCTTTGTTTGTCCACAGCCTCTCTTCTTCCTGAATCCCTTCCAGGCCCCTTTGTTTTCCCTGGGGCTGCAGGGCTTTGTCCCCTGCTTGCTTGCCCTCTTGCCACCATGAAGCACATGGCGAGGAAGCCTTCCTGGATTAGAGGCTCCAGCCTTCCTGGCACTTCAAGCTACTGATTAAACTTAATGCAGTTTCAAACCGGTAATGAAGAAAGTGGTTTCACTGCACAGATGATTATGTACACAGGAAATTCTGGAACCAATTTGAGGCCTGGATGAGATTTAGACAAACCAAAGAGCACCAATATGCACTGTTTTGTGCGCTTTTGTGAGAGTTTGATGTCTGGATGCCGCAGTTTGAAGCTAGTTTTGAACTGCATTAAATGATCAGTGTAGATGAGGTCTATGTGTAGAGTCATAATCCAACACTCAAACCACTATCACACTGGCCCAAGGTTGGCAGATAGGATAGAAGGATAGATGGGTAGATGGATGGATAGGAAGGTAGGTAGGTAGGTAGGTAGGTAGATAGATGGGAAGATAGGAAGATAGGTAGGTAGGTAGGTAGGTAGGTAGGTAGGTAGGTAGGTGGATAGATAGAGATGGATATGAAGAGAGAGGGGAGATGGGTGATGGATGGATGGGTGGTGGATAGATAGGAAGATAGATAGAGATGGATATGAAAAGAGAGAGAGAGATGGGTAGGGAAATGGATGGATGGACGGACGGACGGACAGACAGATAGAAAGATGGAAGGTTGGGAGATAGATGGGTGGGTGGGTGGGTGGGTGGATGGATAGATAGATGGATAGATAGATAGATAGATAGATAGGAAGGTGGAGAGGGAGAGAGAGATGGAAGGATAGATAGATGATGATAGATAGATAGATAGATAGATAGATAGATAGATAGATAGATAGATAGAGACAGACAGAGAGACAGGCAAGAAGATAGATAGATAGATAGATAGATAGATAGATAGATAGATAGATAGATAAGAAGATAGATAGGAAGATAGATAGATAGATAGATAGATAGATAGATAGATAGATAGATAGATAGGAAGATAGATAGATAGATAGGAGTGGATAGATAGATAGATAGATAGATAGATAGATAGATAGATAGATAGGAAGATGGAAGGATGGATGGATAGATAGATAAATATATAGATAGAGAGAGACAGACAGATAGATAGAGAGACAGAAAGACAGGCCTAGATAAGGATGGATGGATAGATAGATAAATATATAGATAGAGAGAGACAGACAGACAGATAGAGAGACAGAAAGACAGCATAGATAAGAAGATAGATGGATGAATGGATGAATGGATGGATAGATAGATAGAGAGATAGATAGATAGATAGATAGATAGATAGATAGATAGATAGATAGATAGATCGTAAGGTGGATAGACAGACAGACAGATAGATAGATAGATAGATAGATAGATAGATAGAGACAGACAGAGAGACAGACAGACAGACAGACAGGCAAGAAGATAGATAAGAAGATAGATGGATGAATGGATGAATGGATGGATGGATAGATTAGATAGATAGATAGATAGATAGATAGATAGATAGATAGATAGAGAGATGGATTGGTAGATAGGTGGATAGGGATAGGGATGGATGGATAAATGGATCAAGAGATAGATAGATAGATAGAGAGATAGAGAGATAGATAGGGAGATAGATCAATAGACAGACAGGCAGATAGGAAGATAGATAGACAGATAGATAAGAAGATGGATGGATTGGTTGGTGGGTGGCTGGATGAATGGGGAGACAGATTTAGGAAGAGGCTCATCCTGATGTCTGGAGATCTTTAACACCAGCACTACAGCCATATTGGCCACAAGATTCTTAAAAGTTGTCGTACCAACAAATAATGTCCTCAAACTCTGCTTTCAAGTCAAGGAAACTGATCACTACTGGCGAAATCTGATAAAAAGGTGGGGGTGGGGAGGAAGGAAGGGGGACCAAACCCACTTCCTAGTGGGCCATCTTGACATCCCCACCAACACAATCCTTTACGTTTAGCATGCCTTCCAATGTAATCCCTCCCATAGTACCCTAGAGTTGGAAAAGACCCCAAAGGCCATGCATCCAGCCCAACCCCATTCTGCCATGCAGGAACACACAATCAAAGCACTCCTGGCAGATGGCCACCTGGCTTTCCTCGCAGCTTGTGCTGTGCATGGTGCTGAACACATCTGGAATAGACATGAGCAAACTTGGGCCCTCCAGGTGTTTTGGACTTCAACTCCCACAATTCCTAACAGCCTACCGGCTGTTAGGAATTGTGGGAGTTGGAAGTCCAAAACACCTGGAGGGCCAAAGCTTTGCTCATGCCTGCTGTAGAATGAATGCAGTTTGACACCACTTTGAAGTGCCATGGCTCAATGCAATGGGATCTTGGGAGTTGTAGTTTTAGGAGGTCTTTTGGCTTCTCTCCAAAGAGTCCTGCTGTCTCACTAAGCTTCACATTCCATGATTCCATAGCATTGAGCCTTGGGAGGTTAAAGTGCTATCAAACCGCATCAATTCTGCAGTGTAGCAGATGGACCCTTTGTCTCCTTTACCTTCAATCCCTGGCTCCAGCTGCTCAAGGGTTAAGAGGAGGAGGAGGAGGAGGAGAAAGGCTTGGACTGCTCGAGCTTGGCAAAGGAATCCAAGAAGGTTTGGGGTCAATCGAGGAGGATGGATCATCCAAGGTGCTTTCCTCCAAAAGGCGCCCCGGAGTCCTTTCTTCTCTCCCTCCGAAGAGGATCCCCAGCGATCGCCTTTTTGGACCCACTGATCTCCTCCTCCTTTTCTTTGCTCGCCTCCGCCCCAATCGGCTTGCAGCTCCTCCCTTTCCCAGGCTGCACCAGGGGAGAAAAAAGCAACCAAAAGAGGGACAGATCTGCAATCACAGGCCTGCCATTTGGGTGCATCTGCACTGCAGAACGAATGCAGCTTGATACCGCTTTAACTGCAATGGCTCCAAGCTATGCAGTGCTGGGAATGGGGAGGCAGCAACCCTCTTTGGCAGAGAAGGCTAAAGGCTGTGAAACTGTTACAGTGTAGATCAGGCACAGGCAAATTTGGGCCCTCCAGGTGTTTTGGACTTCAACTCCCATCATCCCTAACAGCCTCAGGACCCTTCCTTTTCCCCCTCAGCCGCTTAAGCGGTTTGAAGCTAGTTTTGAACTGTATTAAATGGTCAGTGTAGATGAGGTCTATGTGTAGAGTCATAATCCAACACTCAAACCACTACCACAATGGCCCAAGGTTGGCAGATAGGATAGAAGGGTAGATAGAGAGGGGGAGCGAGCGAGAGAGAGAGAGATACGATAGATGATGGATGGATGGATGGATGGATGAATGGATGGATCGATAGATCGATAGATAGATGTCCTATCTAGGATAAGGAGATGATGGATGGATAGGGAGATGGATGGATGGACAGACAGGAAGACGGATAGATGGGAAGATGGATAGAAAGATGGGTGGATGGATAGAGGATAGAGAGATGATAGATAGATAGATAGATAGATAGATAGATAGATGATCGATAGATGATAGATAGATAGAATAGGGAGATGGATGGAGGGATGGATGGATACATAGGATAGGAAGATGGATGGATGGGGATGGATGGATAGACAGACAGACAGGAAGATGGATAGACAGGAAGATAGATGGATGGATGAGATAGATAGATAGATAGATAGATAGATAGATAGATAGATAGGAGAGGGAGATGGATGGATGGATGGATGGATGGATGGATGGATGGATGGATGGATGGATGGATGGATGGATGGATGGATAGATAGATAGATAGATAGATAGATAGACAGAAAGATGGATGGATGGATGGATGGATAGAGAGAGAGACAGACATACATAGATAGATAGATAAATGGATGGATGGATGGATAGACGGACGGACGGACAGACAGACAGACAGGAAGATGGATAGACGGGAAGATTGGTGGATGGATGGGTGGACAGACAGACAGACAGGAAGATGGATAGACAGGAAGATGAGTGGATGGATAGATAGATAGGATAGAATAGGAAGATGGATGGATGGATGGGGATGGATGGATAGACAGACAGACAGGAAGATGGAGAGACGGGAAGATGGATGGATAGATGGATGGATAAACATATAGGATAGGAAGATGATGGATGGATGGATGGATGGATGGGGAGATAGATAGGATAGGATAGGGAGATGGATGAATAGATAGGTAGATAGATAGATAGATAGATAGATAGATAGATAGATAGATAGGATAGGTGGATGAATGAATGGACGGATGGACAGGATAGGATAGGGAGATGAATGGATGGATAGGGAGATAGAGAGGAGAGAGAGAGATGAATAGGGAGATGGATGGATAGATAGATAGGCAGATAGATAGATGGATAAATAGATAATTAGGTAGATAGATAGATAAGTAGGTAGGTAGGCGGTTGAGGGGGAAAAGGAAGGAGCCTGAGGCTGTTAGGGATTATGGGAGTAGAAGTCCAAAACACCTGGAGGGCCCCAAGCTGGCCCATGCCTGGTGTAGATGCACCCTGAAGTTTAAAGGCTTGCTAGCTGCAGCAATACATTATAGCATCCTAGAGTTGGAAGGGACCTCATGGGCCATCCAGTCCAACCCCCTGCCAAGAAGCAGGAAAATCACATTCAAAGCACCCCCGGCAGATGGCCATCCAGCCTCTGTTTAAAAGCCTCCAAAGATAGCGTCTCCAACACACTCCGGGGCAGAGAGTTCCACTGCTGAACAGCTCTCACAGCTAGGAAGTTCTTTTTCATGTTGAGGTGGAATCTCCTTTCTTGTAGCTTGAAGCCATTGTTCCGCATCTTAGTCTCCAGGGCTGCAGAAAATAAGCTTGTTCCCTCCTCCCTATAACTTCCTCTCACGTATTTATACATGGCCTTCATCATGTCTCCTCTCAGCCTTTTCTGCGGGCTAAACACGCCCAGCTCTTTAAGCCGCTCCTCATAGGGCTTGTTCTCCAGACCCTTGATAATTTAAGTTGCCCTCCTCTGGACACATTCCAGCTTGTCAACATCTCTCTTCAATTGTGGTGCCCAGAACTGGACACACTATTCCAGGTGTGGTGTAACCAAGGTAGAAGAGAGGAGTAGCATGACTTCCCTGGATCTAGACAATATACTCCTATTTTTGCAGGCCAAAATCCCTGCATAAATAGATCCCACTTGTGTGCCTTTAAACCAAGTTTACTGCACTCCCCAAGCAAAGGTCCCCAAGGTGTGGTTCAAGGGGAATGCTTGGTGGCCATAAAAAGCAATGGGTAATCTAGTGGCATAGTTTTTTTAAAAGTTAATATTTATGTAATTTGGCTCATTTAAGTCTCCATAATACAATAAAGCACAATACAATTCAAAAACAATACACATGTATAAATATAACTACCCACTACAAACTACTATAGTACATGTTGAAGGCTTTCATGGCCAGAATCACTGGGTCGCTGTGAGTTTTCCTAGCTGTATGGCCATGTTGCAGAAGCATTCTCTCCTGATGTTTTGCCCACATCTATGGCAGGCATCCTCAGAGGTTGTGAGGTGTGTTGGAAACTAGGCAAGTGAGGTTTATATATCTGTGGAATGTCCAGGGTGGGAGAAAGAACTCTAGCCTGCTTGTGGCAAGTGTAAATGTTGCAATTGGTCAGCTTGATGAGCATTGAATGGCTTTGCAGCTTCAACACCTGGCTGGTTGCTGCCTGGGGGAATCCTTTGTTGGGACATGTTAGCTGGCCCTGATTGTTCCCTGGCTGGAATTTCCCTGTTTATTGAGTGTTGCTATTTGTTTACTGTCCTGATTTAAGAGTTTTTTTAGTACTGGTAGCCAGATTTTGTTCATTTTCATGGTTTCCTCCTTTTCGTTGATATTGTCCACATGCTTTTTGTGGATTTCAATGGCTTCTCTGTGTAGCCTGACATGGTGGTGATTAAGGTGGTCCAGCATTTCTGTGTTCTCAAATAATATGCTGTGTTCAGGCACGAATCGAGGAATATGAAAGGCACTGCAGACTAACTCAACCTGAGAAGTCAGCCATAGCAGACCACCTGAAGAACCAACCTGGACACAGCATATTATTTGAGAACACAGAAATGCTGGACCACTCTCACAACCACCATGTCAGACAACACAGGGAAGCCCAGCTTGTTCCTTTCCTAGCAGTTCAAAAGGAAATGTGAGTAGATAAATAGGTACCCCTTTAAAGTGGGGAGGTATTTAAGGCACCCATAAGGAAAATGCTGGCGATTCAATCAAGAAGGAAATTTACAAACAAAGCTCTTTGGCAGGGAAGATGGAGCAACAGTACTCCTTTGTGGCCGGAACTGAGCACGGCCTCCAAGATGCCAAAGATGGGAAAAGCCTATATATACCTCTACCTATGTACAATTGTCTTGCCAATGTATAACGGTATTGAATGTTTGTCGTATATGTGTTCAGTGATCCTCTCTAAGTTCCCTTTGAGGTGAGAAGAACGGAATGTAAGTACTGTAAGTATCTACAGTAATTGCTGTATTTTATTGTTTTTCCCAGGAGGTACTGTGAATTTATGATGTTGTGTTGAGTGTTTATTGTCTACTCGTATGTTCTGTCTTGCACTTGTATTTTGCATGCCACACTGTGAGTGTTTTGTGAGCCGCCCCAAGTCCCTCTGAGAGATGGTGGCAGGATATAAATAAAAAATTATTATTATTATTATTATTATTATTATTATTAAATAAATAAATAAATATCTCACCGAGTCTCAATTAATTCAACATAGTTTGTGGCAGCCACAAAAATGAAGTTTCTGGAGTAGAACAATTACTTTCAAAGTAAGTTCCACACAATAAACAGTAAATAACACTTTCAAAACCAGGAACAGAAAATCTTCCAAATTGTGTGACATAGTGTAATCCTTCCACCTCATGACCCCACCCCAGGAGAAGGAGGAGGAGGAGTATATAACTCACCTGTTCCCAGGTGAGAGTCTCTTTCTGAAGAGCAAGAGATAGAAGCTGCAGACGGAAACTAATAGTTGCTGCAGAAAACAATCCCAATATTTGGAGAGGTAAGTGAATGTGGTCTTGTATGTGACCCTTTAAAACTGAGTTATTCCATTTGTTTACAATCTTTTCCTTTTGCTGCTAGTTTTTGTATTGAAGACTTCACATTTCTTCTGAATTAGGACAAACTAGTTTTATCAATGAGAATACGTCAGTTGTGAAGCAGGAGATACATCATCCTTCGCATGAAGCTGGCCTTTGTAGTTGTCTTGCCAAATGTAAGAAAGGTTTTAATTTTTGGATTCAGCAGCAAAAAGAGAAACCAGTTGTGGGCAAAAGTATGATAGCTGAGACCCTAAGCTACGCTAGTTGCGCAACATGAGTCTGAATTAATGAAGGGAAGATGTGCGCGAGACCTCAGAGTGAGTGAGAGACACAGCTGCGACAGGATAGCAGTGACATAATTTAATTTAGGTGGGAGAGGATAAGGGTGAAGTAATGTAAGACTTATCTAATGTTAAATGATAAACAATGGCTAACGAAGACGGGAAACGGGATAGAAATGTTCCCTTTCCCCATTTCTGGTGAACAATGTTGCTACGACCCTGACACAGCTGCATCTCTCACTCGCTGCACTGCCTTGTGCACGTGTTCACCTCATTCATTCAGACCCACATTGCGCAACCGGCGTAGGGTCCCAGCTATCATACTTTTGCCTAGTTGTGAATGAAAAAGGGTTTAGCAAAATCACATACCATGCAAGATGCCCTCATTCATGCTGTTGGGAACCCCAGAGAGCCACAGGACAGACCTCTTGTTGCACAACATCTCTTCATCCTGGAGCCCCCATTTGAGCCCTCTTTCAGGACATTTTTATATCCTGCTGTTTTACATTGGGAGATCGTCTGAGGTTCACGGCACCCTTGTTTATTTGGCACCAGTCTCCAAGGCTAAACTCCCAGATCCTTCAAGATTACTAATTACTCCTTGCGATGCACCAGCTGTGCTATCCTACCTAGCAACTAAACAAGGTCAAGCAAAACATAAACAATCCCTTAAACAGAGGGACAGTAAGGATATGGTGGAATAACTAGATCTCAGGCCACTAACTCCGTGAAATCACAAAAAGTCTTCCAGAAGTTTGCCCATACAGTAGTTTGTTGTGTATCTGTAGAGTCTTTGGGTACATCTACACCAGGAATGGTCAAACTTAGGCCGTCCAGGTGTTTGGACTGCAACTCCCATAATTCCTAACAGCCGGTAGGCTGTTAGGAATTGTGGGAGTTGTAGTCCAAAACATCGAGGGCAGAAGCTTGACCATGCCTGATCTACACTATAATTAATGTCATTTGATACCACTTTAACTGCTGTAGTTCAATGCTATGGTATCAGAGGAGTTGGAGTTTTACCAATTCTTTGGCCTTCTTTGCCAAAGAGGGCTGGTGTCTCACCAAACTACAACTCCAAGGCTTTGATAGCTTTAATTCTGTAATGCAACTCCAGACTTTATTTCCAACCAAGTTTTTTTTAGTTGGCTTATGAATTAAATGCAGTTGGAGGGACTCTGCTTAAAGCGACCAGACAGAAGAACAGGGTCCCTGGACCTTTAATAGGTTCATAACAGAGGAGGATGAGTGCTTCTCAAGCAAGCTACAGCACCTGCAAATGGCATTATTTGGGCCTGTGGATACTTTTCTCTGACATTCCTCCCCAGTGTATGCTTAAAATGTGAAGTTTTCGTCCTGGTGTTTCCAATAAATCGTGTTGGGGGGGAAAGATAATGCATCCAACAAAAAAGGAAAAAAAAAGTACCAGAACTGGAAATGGTCACCTAGTTTGCACCTACACTGTAGAATTAAGACTTCCAGCTTTTACAGTCTTGTCCAGCAGAATTCCCACATTTCAGGGTCTGGCCCTGAGTTTCAAAAGCTGCCTTCTCCGCTCTTTTGGGAGAAGAGGAAGAACTCAGGACAGGAGCATTGCCTTCAAAAAGCCAGTCTCCCTTAATTTTTGCAGATTTGAATAATTTTAGTGGGTTGCTGTGAGTTTTCTGGCCATGTTCCAGAAGCATTCTCTCCTGATGTTTTGACCAAATTGGGTAAAAACAAAAGAACACCAAACACTATGCAAAAAAAACACACAACTATATTTGGCCCTTTGTATCCACGGACTTTCTGGATTCAACAGGCGTTTGAAGGCAACCATATGGTTGATGTGGCCCTCAATAAAAATTAATCTGACACTCCCGTTCTAAGTCCTTCAGCATGAATACATAGTCAACCTGCAATGGAAGTTGTCAATATATTTTCGCTGGAGGACCTAGAGCAGTGGTTCTCAATGCCACGACCTCTTAATACAGTTCCTCATGTTGTGGTGACCCCAACCATAAAATTATTTTCATTTCTACTTCATAATTGTAATTTTGCTACTGTTATGAATCGTAATGTAAATATCTGATTTGCAGGATATATTTTCATTCACTGGATAAAATTTGGCACAAATACCTGATACGCTCAAATTTGAATATTGGTGGGGTTTTTCGGGGGGATTGATTTTGTCATTTGGGAGTTGTAATTGCTGGGATTTATAGTTAACCTACAATCAAAGAGCATTTTGAACTCTGCCAATGATAGAATTGATCCAAACTTGGCACACAGAACTCCCACAACCAACAGAAAATACTGGAAGAGTTTGGTGGGCATTGACCTTGAGTTTTGGAGTTGTAATTCACCTTTACCCAGGGAGTACTGTAGACTGAAACAATGATAGATCTAGATCAAACTTGGCACAAATATTCAATATGCCCTACTGGGAACACTGGTGGAGTTTGGGGAAAATATACAGTGACATTTGGGAGTTGTGGTTGCTGGGATTTATAGTTCACCTACAGTCAAAGAGCATTCTGAACCCCACCAATGATAGAATTGGAACTTCCCACGCAGAACCCCCGTGCCTTGATGGGACTCACTGGTGCAAGCCTCTCTCCAGCCACGCATGATCTCCCTTGACCCACATGTGTGCACCATGCTGCCATGCACCAAGCTCACCCCTCCCTGCTTGGAGTCTCAGAAATAGCCCTCCCCTTGGCTGAGAGGCTGGACAATCACAGCAGAGGAGGGCTTTTGGTGGGAGAATTGTCTGTTTCCAAAAAGGAAGAGGTGGACATGTGGCGAGATCTTCAGTCTTCTCTGCCAATATATGTTTTCTGATGGTCTATGGCGACCCCTGTGAAACCTCCTCAGGGGTCCCGACCCACAAGTTGAGAAACCCTGATCTAGAGAGAACCCTTCCCTAAATATTTTGTACGGGCAACTTCCAAAGTCACACTACAGGACTTAGAGATTTGTAGTTTTCCACTTTTGTGGGGCATCCTGTGCTCCTAAACCCTATGTAAGTGCGGGCCCACTGTGTTCTTGGCCATCATTTTGGCACCTATAGTTATTTGTTTGTTTGTTTTCGCATGTTGTGCCTCAAACTCCACCTGCATTCTTTTCACTTTCTCTTCCAGCCAACAATGGAGCCCCCCAGCAATGAAGCAATAGAGCAAGGAAACTGTGCTGCTGAGAATGAATCGGGCATTCTTGCCGTAGTCCAGAAGACCTTCCAATGCCTGGAATGTGGGAAAAACTTCCAAAGGGCCCCCAGTCTGTTGTCTCACCAGAGAATCCACACAGGCGAAAAGCCATACCAATGCTCCAAGTGTGGGAAATGCTTTAGTCAGCGGTCAAGCCTGACCATTCACCTGCGAATCCACACAGGGGAAACCCCATACCGTTGTCCTCAGTGCGGGAAATGTTTCCGACAGAGCTCAAACCTGCTGAAGCACGAGCAGCTCCATGCCGGGGTGAAACCTCACCTGTGTGCCGAATGCGGCAAGCGTTTTGCTCAGCGCTCAAACCTTCTCATTCACCAGAGGATTCACACTGGGGAGATGCCTTACCTGTGCTCCGAATGCGGGCAGACATTCAGGCAGCACCGGAGTCTGCTCATCCACCAGAGATTTCATAGAGGGTATCTCCTTTCTGGCTATAACTGCCCCGAGTGTGGGAAAAGTTTCATGCAGAGCTCCGACCTGGTGAAACACCTGAGAATCCACACTGGGGAGATGCCCTACAGTTGCCTACACTGTGGGAAAAACTTCCGCTATGTCTCCAACCTCAACCGGCACAACAGAACCCACACGGGGGAAAAGCCGCACGCTTGCCGGCAATGTGGTGAATGCTTCAGCCACTTGTCCAGCCGAAACATGCACGAGAGGATCCACACGGGCGAGAGGCCCTACGAATGTGCCGAATGTGGAAAGATGTTCATTTCCAGCTCAAAGCTTGCACGGCACCTGAGAACCCATGCCAATCAAGTGTCTTACATTTGCACAACGTGTGGGGAAAGCTTTGGTCAATATTCAAACCTTCTGAAACACAAACCGCTCCACAAAGCTCGGAGCTCTGGCTCAAAAGGAAAAGGGACGTGAAAGGCAAACAGGTTGAACTGAGTTGAGCTTTGTGGATCAACCAGCAGGTAATAGCATTTATCAATACTATGGGGTCAGGGTTCTCTCAGAGTTTGGAAGTATAGAATCATAGAGCTGGGAGAGACCACACGGCCCTGTCAATCTAACCCAGGGGTCCTCAAACTTTTTAAACAGAGGGCCAGGTCACAGTCCCTCAAACTGTTGGAGGGCCGGATTATAATTTGAAAAAAACATGAATGGATTTCTATGAACACTGCAGATAACTTATTTGTAGTGCAAAAACACTTAAATGCAATACAATAATGAAAATGAAGAACAATTTTAACAAATATAAATTTATTAGTATTCCAATGGGAAGTGTGGGCCTGCTTTTGTCTGATGAGATAGGATTGTTGTTGTTGTGTGCTTTCAAGTCATTTCAGACTTAGGTTGACCCTGATGCTGTATTTTAAGTATCGTTGTTACTTCTTGGTTGCTTTTATAGTCACAGGAGGGAGAACTATCTTATATTGTGGGCGCTATAATTTACAAGGTCTGTAGCCTTCTATGCCAAAGACTGCTGGTGCAGCAGTCAACTACAAATCCCAGGAGCCCTTAGCACTGAATCAGGGCAGTTCAAGTAATGGCAAATTGTATTTATTCTACAGTCTTGGTCACATTCTCCAGTGCAGTTTCCAAGATAAGTGCTTAGGTTGTTGAGAGTTGCAGTCCAACAGCATCTGCAGGATGTCATGATTATTTATATGCAACCTTTCTTCTTGGACAGGACTCAGGATGGCCAATGGGACTGAAGGCTAAATGAATCCAGAGTGAAGTTGAAGGACTGGGACCCCACCACTGCTGACCCTTTATGTTTAAAAAGTTGATGTATTGATTACACGGAGAGAGAAATCCAGTAATAAAATTCTTTTGTTTCCTCCTTTTCCCAATATATAATTTGAATGTCCACTCAAAGGGCCCTTCCACACAACTATATAACCCAGAATATCAAGGCAGAATATACACAATATCTGCTTTGAACTGGGTTATGTGAATCCACACTGCCATATAATTCAGTTCAATGTGGATTTTATACAGCTGCGTGGAAGGGGGCCTAAGAAATGTGCTATATCAGCTGAAGATTTCTAGGTTTTTCAGGTCTTGGAATCTTTGGAGTTGTTGATGGGTCCTGTTCCCTTTAACAAATACTTACAGTGTTTATCAACCTTCCTAATGCCACGACCCCTTAATACAGTTCCTCATATCGTGGTGACCCACAACCATAAAATTATATTCGTTGCTACTTCATAACTGTAATTTTGCTACTGTTATGTATTGTAATGTAAATATCTAATATGCAGGATGTATTTTCATTCACTGGAACAAATTTGGCACAAATACCCAATACACCCAAATTTGAATACTGGTGGGGTTGGGGTGGTGGGCGGATTGATTTTGTCATTTGGGAGTTGTAGTTGCTGGGATGTATAGTTCACCTACTTTCAAAGAGCATTCTGAATGCCACAAATGATGGAATTGAACCAAACTTGTCACACAGAACTCTCATGACCAACAAAAAATACTGGAAGGGTTTGGTAGGCATTGGTCTTGATTTTGGGAGTTGTAGTTCACCTACATCCTGACAGCACTGTGGACTCAAACAATAATGGATCTGGACCAAACTTGGCACAAATACTCAATATGCCCAAATGTGAACACTAGTGGAGTATGGGGAAAATAGACCTTGACATTTGGGAGATGTAGTTTCTGAGATTTATAGTTCACCTACAATCAAAGAGCATTCTGGACCCCATCAACGATAGAATTGGGCCAAATTTCCCACACAGAATCCCTATAACCAAGAGAATACTGTGTTTTCTGGTGGTTTTTGACAACCCCTCTGACACCCCCTCAAGACCCTCAGGTTGAGGAAAAACTGATTTAGAAGCATTTTTGTTATATAAATAGAATTAGAATTGGAATAATATAGCTGTCTAGATTTTTTGGACTCAAACTCTCAATATTCCTCAATACTGGCTGCAAAAGTTAAGGCTGATGGGACTTGCAGCTGAACATTTGGAGAGCTTCATGATTTCTGTACCTGCTCTGTATAGAAATATAGCAAAGCAGGATTATGCCAGTTCTAAATACTTTTCCAGCAGTCTAAATAACAAAGATAGTCATAAATATGCATTTTACATATCTAGGCACTCATTGAATAGCCTTCCTTTGTGTATTTAAAGGTTCAGAAATAGGTACTGCAGGAAATACTCATATGATCCAGGAATGAAAGTGAGTGCAAAAGAGTTCCATCAAAAAAAGTCTGGGAAAAAGAAAACTTCCTTATTGTCAGGGATGGACAACATGTAGTTCTTTGGATGTTGCTGAAATTCAACTTCCACTGTTGGCCATATTGTCCCAGGGCTGGTGGGAATTCCAGGCCAACAATAGTTGGGAAATCTAAATGTTTTCTTCAACCTTTACCTTACATTTACAGTAAAGGTAAAGGTTTCCTCTTGACATTAAGTCTAGTTGTGTCAAACGTTGCGGGTTGGTGCTTAGCTCCATTTCTAAGCCAAAGAGCTGGCGTTGTGCATAGACACTTCCAAGGTCATGTGGCCGGCATGACTGCATGGAGCACCATTACCTTCCCACCGAAGCGGTACCTATTGATCTACTCACATTTGCATATTTTCAAACTGCTAGGTTGGCAGAAGCTGGGGCAAACAGTGGGAGCTCACCCTGCTCCGGTGACCTTTTGGTCAGCAAATTCAGCAACTCAGAGGTTTAATGTGCTGTGTCCCCAGGGGCTCCTATCTATACAGTACTTTCTACAAAAAAGTAATCAGGGAAAGTTCTGAATCTCATAAGAGGGAAAATATATTTCCTCATAAGAAAGAAAATATTATAGAAAAAATACTATGGGAACATAGTATATACAGGATTCGCCATAAGTGGGAGGAAAAAAAAATAGAGGAGTAAGGGAGAACTTGCATTTAGTCTTATGTTGTTGCTTTTCCTCTTCATGGGACTATTAATAGCCACCAGTTGATCCCTGCCTCAAAGGGGAATTTGTTTATGAGTTTATCTAATAGCCAAACAATGTTCACATATTGGCCAGGCCTTTGGGCTCAACCAGGGATGATGCTAAATGTGTGTTAGATGCCATGTCAAGATTATAAATAGCAAATGAAGGTGATCCAGGTTACAATGAGATCACACAAGGAGGGCAGGTTAATGTTTTTTCTTTCTTACTGCAGTACCATTGGAAATAATTCTCTGAACCCTGCTTAGTTTCTATGAGCCTTATTAGAAAGAGAGGTGTCATTAGTTGATGTTGGAGGAAAATTCGGAGAGTGCCTTGGACTGCGAGAAGATCCAACCAGTTCATACTTCAGGAAAGAAAACCTGGCTGCTCATTGGAGGGAAGGATAGTAGAGGCACAGATGAAGAACTTTGGCCACATCATGAGAAGACAGGAAAGTTTAGAGAAGACTGATGCTGGGGAAAATGGAAGGAAAAAGGAAGAGGGGTCGATCAAGGGCAAGATGGATGGATGGTATCCTTGAAGTGACTGGATTGACTTTGAAAGAGCTGGGGGTGGTGACGGCCAACAGGGAGCTCTGGCGTGGGCTGGTCCATGAAGTCACGAAGAGTCGGAAACGATTGAACAACAACAACAACAACTATACTTGGAAAGGAATCCTGGGAGCTCTAGTTTAGTGAGGTACCAGAATTCTTTGGCAAGGAAAGCTAAGAGCTATATAGAATCTAGTTTGATGTGGCCCCATCTACACTGACCATATAATCACAGAATCATAGAGTTGGAAGAGACCTCATGGGCTATCCAGTCCAACCCCCTGCCAAGAAGCAGGAAAATTGCATTCAAAGCACCCCCGACAGATGGCCATCCAGCCTCTGTTTAAAAGCTTCCAAAGAAGGAGCCTCCACCACACTCCAGGGCAGAGAGTTCCACTGCTGAACAGCTCTCACAGTCAGGAAATTCTTCCTAATGTTCAGATGGAATTTCCTTTCCTGTAGTTTGAAGCCATTGTTCCGTGTCCTTGTTTCCAGGGCAGCAGAAAACAAGCCTGCTCCCTCCTCCCTGTGACTTCCACTCACATATTTATACATGGCCCTCATCATGTCCTCTCTCAGCTTTTTCTTCTGCAGGCTAAACGTGCCTAGCTCTTTAAGCCGCTCCTCATAGGGTTTGTTCTCCAGACCCTTGATCATTTTAGTCACTCTCCTCTGTACACATTCCAGCTTGTCAATATCCCCCTTTGCAATGCCCAGAATTGAACACAGCGTGATTCCAGTTGTGGTCTGACCAAGGCAGAATAAAGGGGTTGCATGACTTCCCTGGATCTAGGTACTCGATTCCTCTATTTATGCAGGCCAAAATCCCATTGGCTTTTTAAGCCGCTGCATTGGGTTGTTGGCTTATGTTTAACTTCTTGTCCACAAGGACTCCAAGATCTTTTTCACATGTACTGCTCTCGAGCTACACATCCCACATTCTGTATCTTTGCATTTCATTTTTTCTGCCTAAGTGGAGTGTCTTGCATTTGTCACTGTTGGACTTCATTTTGTTAGTTTTGGCCCATCTTTCTAATCTGTCAAGATCGTTTTGAATTCTGCTCCTGTCCTCTGGAGTATTGGCTATGTCAATATTCTACCATCAGAATACAAGCGTTCTTCATTTCAGCTTCAGATGGGTGTTCAGAGTTTATAGAAACCAACAAAACACATTTTAAACAAACTTTATTGACTACCATATGAAACCGGAATACAGTAAATGTAAAACCAAAAAGTCCAACTCTACAGGGATAATAGATCAGGAAATAAAAGGATTACAACAGACGAAAGATATAAACCAAACAATCCATAAACAAAAAGAGACAGTAATACTGAAAGTTGATCTAATTTAGACAGAAGTTTTCCCATTCATTTGGCCAAACCAAAGAGAAAGTGCAATTGTGATCAAATTATGGTAATACTCTTTGGATTCTTAATCTATA